CGCTACCCTCCTCTGCGTCAGTAGTTACCTTTGTCCCCCTGGTGTAGTCCCCAGGCAGCCTCGTCTTGTGCCTGAGGATCCAGTAATGATATTTACCATCAAGGAGGGAGTAGAGGGCGGGACCTACCGCGCTGACCCGTCTCTCTACATTACTGCTGTAAACACACTGTCTCCTGTGGTAACGTGCAACACGGCTGGCTGCTCTTCGTGTCTGCTGCCATTCTTATGGGTCGTGCTAGGTCTACTGCCATCCTTGTGGGTCGTGCTAGGTCTGCTGCCATCCTCGTGGGGTCCTACTAGGTCTGCTGCCATCCTCGTGGGGTCCTACTAGGTCTGCTGCCATCCTTGTGGGTCGTGCTAGGTCTACTGCCATCCTTGTGGGTCGTGCTAGGTCTGCTGCCATCCTCGTGGGGTCCTACTAGGTCTGCTGCCATCCTCGTGGGGTCCTACTAGGTCTGCTGCCATCCTTGTGGGTCGTGCTAGGTCTACTGCCATCCTTGTGGGTCGTGCTAGGTCTGCTGCCATCCTTGTGGGTCGTGCTAAGTCTGCTGCCATCCTTGTGGGTCGTGCTAGGTCTGCTGCCATCCTTGTGGGTCGTGCTAGGTCTGCTGCCATCCTTGTGGGTCGTACCAATATTGCACCATTAGTATCTGGGCTCTCCTCTTCCATCCACTTAGTACTGAGTGGCTATGGAAGGACTTGTGGCGGCCTGTTGGTACTTGGATGACTGTAATGACAGGTAGAAATATCCTTTAAAACAGTGTGTGTGTGTGTGTGTGTGTGTGTGTGTGTGTGTGTGTGTGTGTGTGTGTGTGTGTGTGTGTGTGTGTGTGTGTGTGGTAATGATTTATGGATGTGATAAAACTGTGTGAGTGTTTGTTATGCTCTAGACTACGGCCACGCCCTCGTGTGCTCTCCTGCTCTCACTCACCTCTATTTGGCAGGTAAACACTGTCATGTTTAGTGCCGTTACAACATTACAGTGTGTGTGTGTGTGTGTGTGTGTGTGTGTGTGTGTGTGTGTGTGTGTGTGTGTGTGTGTGTGTGTGTGTGTGTGTGTGTGTGTGTGCTCACGTGTTTGTGTCTGCAGGATCGAGTATTGACTCTTGGATCCCGCCTTTCTAGCCATCGGTTGTTTACGGTAACGACTCCTGTTCTTTTTGCCTATCATATCTTGTTTTAAAATTATGAATAAGAGTTTGCTTCCACAACCTGCTCCTTAAGTGCATTCCATTTTTTCCACTTCGCTCACGTTAAAAGAAAACTTCCTAACATCTCTGTGACTCATCTGAGTTTCCAGCTTCCACCCATGTCCCCTCGTTCTATTAATATTAAGTGAGAACCTTTCATCTATTTCCACTTTGTCAATTCCCCTGAGTATTTTATATGTTCCTATCATATCCCCCTCTCCCTTCTTTTATCTAGTGTCGTAAGGTTCAGTTCCTTAAGGCGTTCTTCATATCCCATCCCTCGTAACTCTAGGACGAGCCTCGTCGCAAACTTCTGAACCTTTTCCAGTTTCCGTATATTGTTCAGGTGGGGACTCCATGATGGGGCTGCATACTCTAAGACTGGTCTCACGTAGGCAGTGTAAAGCGCCCTAAAGGCCTCCTCACTTAGGTTTCTGAATGATGTTCTAACTTTTACCAGTGTAGAGCACGCTGCTGTCGATATCCTATTTATATCAGCCTCGGGAGTTAGATTAGGTGTTACGTCCACTCCCAGGTCTCTCTCTCGAGTCGTTGCAGGTAGGCTGTTCCCCTTCATTGTGTATTATCCCTTTGGTCTCCTATCACCTGATGCCATCTCCATAACTTTACATTTGCTCGTGTTGAACTCCAGTAGCCATTTCTCTGACCATCTTTGCAACCTGTTCAAGTCCTCTTGGAGGATCCTACAATCCTCATCTGTCACAACTCTTCTTGTTAATTTTGCGTCATCCGCAAACATCGATATGTAGGATTCTAATCCTGTAAACATGTCATTTACGTATATTAGAAATAGAATTGGTCCCAGCACCGATCCTTGAGGTACTCCACTCGTTACTGTTCGCTAGTTCGACTTCTCGCCCCTTACTGTTACTCTCTGGCTCCTTCCTGTTAAGTAGTTCCTTACCCATGCTAGGGCCTTTCCGCTTACTACTGCCTGCCTCTCGAGTTTGTATAGCAGTCTCATGTGCGGTACTGTATCAAAGGCTTTTTGGCAGTCTAGAAATATGCAGTCTGCCCAGCCTTCTCTGTCCTGCCTTATCCTTGTTACTTTGCCATAGAATTCTAAAAGGTTTGTTAGGCATGATTTCCCTGTCCAGAACCCATGTTGGTGCTTGTTTACAAACCCAATGCTCTCCAGGTGTTCAACAAGTCTTAGCCTAATTATTCTTTCAAGTATTTTGCAGGGGATGCTTGTCAGTGATACGGGTCTGTAGTTAAGTGCCTCCTCCCTATCACCTTTTTTGAAAATCGGTACGTTAGCCTTCTTCCAGCAACTGGGCAATTCTCCCGACATAGGTGACGTTAAAGATCATTGCCAGAGGCACGCTGAGGGCCTGCGCTGCCTCTTTTAGTATCCACGGTGATACTTTATCTGGTCCAACCGCTTTAGTTGCATCTAGTGTTGTCAACTGTTTCAGTACCATCTCTGCTGTCACCTCTATATCCGGTAGTCTTTCATTTAGGGTAATTCCTTCTAACAATGGGAGCTGCTCAGGCTCGGTTGTGAACACTCCATGGAAACTGGCATTCAGTGCCTCGCAGATTTCCTTGTCACTTTCTGTATATGCCCCTTCTGTTTTCCTTAGTCTTGTCACTTGGTCGTTCACCGACATTTTTCTTCTTATATGGCTATGTAGTAATTTAGGTTGCTGTTTCGCTTTGATCGCCATATCATTCTCGTAATTTCTTTCCGATACTCTTCGTATGTTAATGTAATCGTTCCTAGCTCTGTTGCATCTGATCCTGTTGTCCTCTGTCCTTTGTCTTCTGTACTTCCTCCACTCCCTCTTGCTTCTCATTTTTGCTTCCTGACACTGTCTATTAAACCATGGGTTATTATATTCCCTCTTACTTCTTCCCTTTACTGTTGGTATAAATCTCTCTGCGGCCTCCTTGCATTTCCATATGACTAGGTTCATCATATCTTGCACTGTTTTTCCTCTAATTTCTTCCTCCCACTGCACTTCTCCTAGATAGTCCCTTATCCTTCTGTAGTCCCCTTTCCTGTAGTCGACTCTCCTTTCCCAGACCTCCTGTCCCATGGTCACAATTTTAAGTTCCATCATGTAGTCAAAGACTAGGACACAATGGCCGCTGGCTTCTAGTGATATTTCATGTTCCAAATGTGTGTGTTTGTGTCCAAATGTTTCATGTGTGTTTGTGTGTGTGTTCACCTAGTTGTGTTTGCGGCGGTCGAGCCTCGGCTCTTTAGTCCCGCCTCTCAACTATCAGTCAACAGGTGTACAGGGCCCTGAATTTACTGGGATCTATCATATCTACACTTCAAACCATGTATGGAGTCAGCCTCCACACTACTGGCACCAATGTTCACACTACTGGCACCAATGTTCACACTACTGGCACCAATGTTCACACTACTGGCACCAATGTTCACACTACTGGCACCAATGTTCACACTACTGGCACCAATGTTCACACTACTGGCACCGTGTTCACACTACTGGCACCGTGTTCACACTACTGGCACCGTGTTCACACTACTGGCACAAATGTTGTCTTCTCTATTGCCAAAAGAGCAGTGTTGCCCCCTGTGTGGCACCTCGCTGCCTCATCCACCGTTGTTCTTCGTGTTCCCTGGCTTGGCAGCGGTTGCCAGGACCTGGGCACTGGAGGAGGGCCAAGAGGCAGTGCCAGGGGTCGTAAAGGAGGGGGACACGCTGGGTTTAGCGGCGTCACCGTGGTTAGGGTGTGGAGACGGGCCATTAGTGGTGCATATAATGATGGGGGCAGACGCTGGCTGGCTGGCTGGCTGGCTCTCCTTCTCTCCCTAATACACCATCCCCGACATTCAGGGTTGTTGGCCCCCCATCTCTCTCTCTCTCTCTCTCTCTCTCTCTCTCTCTCTCTCTCTCTCTCTCTCTCTCTCTCTCTCTCTCTCTCTCTCTCTCTCTCTCTCTAGCTCTCTCTCTTCCTTATATATATATATATATATATATATATATATATATATATATATATATATATATATATATATATATATATATAACCACCATGGTAAATATTGTTTGTTTACTTTGATCTGGTTTTATATGGTATATATGGAATTGTTATTGTTTGAAATATTGGCACTAATGTGTGTAGGTCAAAGGATGAGCCGCCTTGTTTTATCTTGCTGTACGCGCGAAAGTTTAGTGGTAATGTGTCCAGTCTCGGGGTCACTAATTAACTGTGCTTTGTTTGTCAAACGGAACGCGGTTTTTGGGCAAAATATTGGGATATAGCCATGTATTCCTCACCCCCCCCACACACACTGCACACACTCACCCGTTGTTACCCCCACACACACCTGCACTGTTGCAGGTATATAGGGGTGGGTAAAGCAAGAGTATGGGGAGGAAGTGTGTGTTATACTCACCTACACACACCTACAAACACACACACCCTCCTGTTGTACCCACCCCACAGTCTCCTGGTCTGCTGTACCCACCCCACATGCCTCCTGGTCTGCTGTACCCACCCCACATGCCTCCTGGTCTGCTGTACCCACCCCACATGCCTCCTGGTCTGCTGTACCCACCCCACATGCCTCCTGGTCTGCTGTACCCACCCCACATGCCTCCTGGTCTGCTGTACCCACCCCACATGCCTCCTGGTCTGCTGTACCCACCCCACATGCCTCCTGGTCTGCTGTACCCACCCCACATGCCTCCTGGTCTGCTGTACCCACCCCACATGCCTCCTGGTCTGCTGTACCCCACCTACACTGCTGTATATTTACCTGTGAGTGACGCCACCAGAGGGCCAACTGACGGGGGCGTTCCGTTGCAGGGAGACGCTGGGAGAGGTGCTGGTGAGCCTGGGCCAGCTGGAGGCCTCCAGCAAGTGTCTACAGACCGCCATAGACATCGAGGCCAAGTCGCCCATCCTCCCCTTCACCTCCATTCCCTTCTGCTACGAGTAGGATGGCACCCGGAGCCCCCAGGTCCCGCCCGGAGCCCCCAGGTCCCGCCCGGAGCCCGCAGGTCCCGCCCGGAGCCCCCAGGTCCCGCCCGGAGCCCGCAGGTCCCGCCCGGAGCCCCCAGGTCCCGCCCGGAGCCCCCAGGTCCCGCCCGGAGCCCCCAGGTCCCGCCCGGAGCCCGCAGGTCCCGCCCGGAGCCCCCAGGTCCCGCCCGGAGCCCGCAGGTCCCGCCCGGAGCCCCCAGGTCCCGCCCGGAGCCCGCAGGTCCCGCCCGGAGCCCCCAGGTCCCGCCTGGAGCCCCCAGGTCCCGCCTGGAGCCCCCAGGTCCCGCCTGGAGCCCCCAGGTCCCGCCTGGAGCCCCCAGGTCCCGCCTGGAGCCCCCAGGTCCCGCCTGGAGCCCCCAGGTCCCGCCTGGAGCCCCAGGTCCCGCATGGTATTCCCGCGCTCTGGCGGCCCCGGTCGCCGCCTCGCTGGGTTATTCAAACAGGATAACGCCCACAGGTCAACGCCCACAACCACCCACACAGGACTTCAGGTGGTGTTTCCAGTAGGTCGGGTCGCCTGCATCATCACCCCCCACACACACACCCTCCAACAACAGGTGTGGAGGAGCCTCCAGCAACAGGTGTGGAGGAGCACGGGTAGAAGCGGCCGCTGACCAGTGGCTCACCCAAACATTCCGCTTGATGTATTAACCAACACTTTATCTCTGTAAGGATTAGTATACACAATTATTTTAAGTTCATTGTGCCAAAATTGTTCCATTGTTTTTGTGGTTTTACTTTTTTAGAGAGAATTAAATGATGAATTGGGGGGAAATGTGAGGATGTGATGAACGTGTGTGTGGGTGTGGGTGTGTGTGTGTGTGTGTGTGTGTGTGTGTGTGTGTGTGTGTGTGTGTGTGTGTGTGTGTGTGTGTGTGCGCGTGTGTGCCAGAGCATCAGAATACTGCAGTAGAATTGAATGAAATTTGATGACAGTGTTTGGACGCCATATTGAACTTACAAGCTGGAGGAGTTTTTTTCTGTAAATTAATAATTTACTGCATTATAGGCACTCTCCAGGAAGCCTTATGTGATATACTGTATAATAAACTGTAATTTTAATTCGAGTTAAATATAGAGAGTTTTATTCTGAAAGTGACACCTTGCGAAAATGTATTTACAAATTGGAGATGTATATAGATAATTAATTACATACAAGACGACATGTCTTGAAAAAAAAAAATATATATATATATATATATATATATATATATATATATATATATATATATATATATAATATACTTTTACAAATATCCATTGAAACATTATCATTATTATTATAATAAAATTATTACTATTAATAATATTATTACTGAGAAAATCAGGAGGAGCCATGAGGAGGATTCGAACCTGCGTTCTGAGAACTCCCAAGCACTGATTTTCTCACTCGTACAAAACGGTAATGTGATTCCTTTGTGTATTATTCATATTATTATTATTGTAAGCATTAAGGAGGAATCAGAGGGTGATTCTATGAGCCATGAGAAGCTCTATCGACTGGGCTATTGAGTAGTGTTAATAGGGAAGCTTTCCTTATTAAGACCACTCAATAGTTCGGTCGATAGAGCTTCGGTCTCGCACGCGTGGGGGAGGGGACGACGGTTTGAGTCTCCTAGAGTCTCTAGGATCCTCTATTTTCCCAGGTGAATGGGATGTTTATTTTCCACGGAAGTGTGGATGACAATGAGACACTTTGTAATGATTCAAGCAAGAAGTAAAGTTCGAGCTGAGACTCGGTCACAGTTACGTGATTGGAAAAGGTAATCCAACTCACAGTAAGAATAGTGAGTGGTCTCTTCCACTGTTAGCTGAGCCTCCACTTGATATTGGTTGGCACGTGTGTGTGTGTGTGTGTGTGTGTGGGTGTGGAGAGAGAGGTGGCAGGGGATGTCCTTACAGACTTCATGCTCCGCTACAAGACTGGTGGTGACTGTAAAGTATATACAGTTAGTGGAGGAGAGGGTGTAGGTGGTTATATCACAGAAACAAGGTTATCGCGTATAGCCAAACTCAATTACGGGCTCTCCATAGCCCGTGCTACATGGACACTTTGTTCTGAGTAGCTAAATCTGTAACAACAACAACAACAACAACAAGGGTGTAGGTGTTAGTGGTGGGTGTGTTGACTGAGCACCACCCACAACATTCCGTGTTGACCAAGCAGACTGTTGGTGTCTGTATATAGCATTGTTGAAATAAAACTTGACGAAAGGAACACCTTAACTTTAATTACCTTCAATAAATAAATCATTTATACCTTAAAGAACCCTTTGACTTGCTCTAGTTAGCAAGGCTTTTAGATTATACATCTACGTGGCCATTTTTAAATCAATATTAATGGATTTGAATGATAAATGAAGTTATTATTTAATATCGAGAATCAAAATAGAAATCCTTAATGTTGGTTTTGTCCTCGTATATAAGTCATCAGATGCGAATCCCAGAAATTTAAAGACCAACTTAAAATAGAATACTGCTTGGGAAACCTCACAAGTCCAGCCCCTATATTATTGTGAAAACTTCACAATTCATATTGTGAATTGTGAAAACCTCACAATTCATCCTGCTTGGAGACTGTAACCTGCTTCACTAACATGGAAGAAAGTAGCACAGTTACATGTGAGAGCATCCCAGCAACAGTCTAAATGATCAGTCACATGACCCCTTACGGATGTGTGACAGATTTGTTACACATCCGTAAGAGGTGTGATTTGATATTTGATTTTTCAGCAAATAACAGAACCATAAAAAAAAGGAAACGGGAATACTTGGAAGAACAGTTTGATAATGCAAACGTATCATTCTCAATGCCTCGAGAGCCATTAAATGCCATTAAAACATAGAGAGAATAGGTGTAGTGGCATTGGAAATATGAGCCAGTCACATATTAATGAAAAAGAGAGAAAGATGGAAATTGGACGTGAACTTTAACGTCCAGCCTATCTCAAGGACGACACGGAAGGCTGTGTAGAGAAATAGAAACGATTGGGCTAAAGCCGCAAGAATCATATAAACTCCAGGAGATTCGAAGAGAGCAAAAGGCCATCAGTGAATATTAAAACGTATTTTGGGTTCCTCTCTAATGTACAAAATCCTGAAAAATTATATTTAGCATTGGGACACTGTCAAGGGAGAAGGAACTTTCATAGATTACATGAAAACAATTATTGAAATACTGACGATACCTTACGATTCTGTTACCTTGGAACCTCTGAATACACTGATCAATAATCCAAATGACTTCTTCATGGATGTGATATCAAATCATATATCAGATGTCACCTTTATAGTAGCCATAGCGTGACTGTGGACAGTATGTCCAAGCGCACTACATTAGTCTCCCAATGGGTGAAAAAGCACCTCATCTTACAGAAGTTAAGTCTCTCAGGCTACGGGGTCCAGTAAGTTCAGTAGAACTTCGGTTTCAACCCTTTTAACCCTGTCGTAGCTCAGTCGATTAAGGCAGTGTCTGGGATGCTCCCGGACGCAGGTTCGAATCCTCGTCACGGCCCTTGTGGATTTGTTCATTCGATGCATCACGTTAGTGTGATCTCTGTGTGTGTAAGTCTCTCAGCTGTTTGGTATAATATTGGCCAGGTGGTTTATAACTGTGGCCGGAGCTGCAGGGGTGCAGGTGCGATCATGTTAAACGGCCTCAATATGTCCTCAAAGATTAGTTAATATAAATACCTGCTGGTAACATGGAGACCTGTGTGCTCCTGATTTATCTTCAGCTGAAGAGTTTACCCTTTCCCAGAACACCTCTTTAGTGGGCAGCTCCTATTGGCCCATACGAGACAGCTGCTATATATATATCCACCCAAACTCATCCACATAAGTCTAAGCTACGCTTGAAACAATGTAGTGATCCTACGTGTGTTACGCTACCCCAGTAACCATAAATAAACATTAGAGCAACAATTGTGGTCAGTAGTCGTGGCTTGGATTAAGCCTAGGAGAGACTGCAGCCCTCTGTGGATCCTGTCATATTGCTTGACACTACCTCGAGCCCGCCTCTGGGGTCCTCCTGGTACCAGGATACCCCAGATTGATTGATCATTGATGAAGACTAAGCCACCCAAAAGGTGGCACGGGTACGAATAGCCCGTAAGTGGAGGCCCTTTTGAGCCATTACCAGTATCAATAGGTGATGCTGGAGATCTGTGGAGGTGTGACTGCACCGAGAATGCCCCAGGAAAAAGCTCTCCCACCTTGGGATGCATAATGGGTTTGAGACGAGTGAAGGTTTAATATCCATCATGTGTCTGCCTCTCATCCTGCTTCATACTCCTCTTCTGTTTTGAGCTGGAAGCAAGGATCAGACCGAGCCTTGGCCGGCGTGGAGGGCTCTTCATCATCCGGGCGACCTTCGCAACCCTCAACAAAGGGGTCGAGTCTCTGGTTCAATTGCTTTATTGGGGCGTTGTGCGTGGGTCTTTCATCCCGATTTATATGAGCAACGTTGACCAGACCACACTAGAAGGTGAAGGGACGACGACATTTCGGTCCGTCCTGGACCATGCTCAAGTCGATCAAGTCCAGGACGGACCGAAACGTCGTTCCTTTACCTTCTAGTGTGTGGTCTGGTTAACATACTTTAGCCACGTTATTGTGACTCATCGCCTGCATATGAGCAACGTTCTCGATTCTCAATCGTGGATCCCGGGTTCAATTCCCAGGCGGGACAGAAGTGGCTGTGCATGTTTCCTTCAGGCCGTCCTCATCAACAAAGGCTAAATTCTCATTAACCCAGCCACCAAACCCCAGGTGTTTATAAATGAAAAGCGCTTTACACACGGCTCAACTGATGACGTTCGAAAATTTCTCGAACAGTGTTTTAATGACGTCCTCGGTTCGAACTGAAATTGTAAATGCTTCACCCACGCATTTCAAGTTCAAATACACAGCGCCGACGAGAAACAAAATGGGCAGAGTTTCTTTCATCCTGATGCCCCTGTTACCTAGAAGTAAATAGGTACCTGGGAGTTAGTCAGCTGTTACGGGCTGCTTCCTGGTGTGTGTGTGTGTGTGTGGTGTGGAAAAAAACAATAGTAATAGTTAGAACCGGTTGATTGACAGTTGAGAGGCGGG